TCCTGCTGTGAAGGCAGGGGACTGGACTTGATGACCTTTCAAGGTCCCTTCCAGTTCTAGGAGATAGGCAATCTCCATTAATTTATTTAATTTAATTTATCCGTGTTGGCTGTCTTATTCTGCATCCACGAAGACTTTGAATATAAGGTGCTTCTGCCCCCTTCCCCCCCACTCTAACCCAATACTGAAAATAAAGCCTTTTCCGAAAGATCCGTTATCCCTTATTTCAAGAGGGATAAGGGATCTTTCGGAAAAGGCTTTATTTTTCAAAAGATCAGTGTCTAGACTGGCGCTTTTCTCCAACAAAGCTCCATGCCAAAAAAAGCGGCAGCCATTTTTATGCTAATGAAGCGCGGGGGATTTAAATCCGAAAAAGGGATGTAGTCTAGACGTAGCCAGGGTGTTTCTACTATATCAGAGGCAGCAGTGTGAGGTGGGTATCTGGCCTGTGTGGGGAGCTGGTTTTTAAACTCGCTACCCTCGCAGACTGGCTCTCACCTGGTACCATGCTGTTTCCTCTGATATGGGGACTCTTGCACTAAGGGTCTATAGAATAGTCAAGTAGCCGATAAGAATTCATGTGGTTACTCAACAGTTCAATTACCCCATATTTAACGTCCCTATTCATCACCCCGTAGCTATGTAGTCCCCAGCCTGGATGTGGGCTGCTGCTGTGACAGTAGCAAGTCTTCAGGTAGCTCTTCCTTGCAGGGTTTCAGAGCAGCTTCTAAGGTTGCTTTTCTTCAATAGGTTTTTTCTTACAGATGTTTGGCAGTGTTTTGCTCTCTTGCTGGTGCCTGTCACTACAGAACTGTACAAAGCTTTATTTGGCCAGTCATAGCCCTTCATACACAATTTGTCTATCCAGCTCAATCAGCTTTCAGTAGTCTGCTCTGAGGTCATATTTCCTAACAGCCAATTTCTAGCTGAATGATGATGTCATTGCCTAGTCACATGGGTCCTATGTCCTTTCTCATGTGATGGAAGACCCATTTACCTCTGTGTTCAATGCATTTCTGTGGAGTTTCTCAGTTGACCCTTAGATGAACCCAAGCTACTTGTCTAGAAATTTCATTGGTTTCTAATCATACAATGTCTGTGGGACTTTACTGAATCATGCCAAACAGTAGTAGAATTTACCATTATATCACAGAGAGTAGAATTATTACATCACTTGCAGTGGACCCCTATGATCTTTATAGGTGGAATCTTCCATTCTGTTTCATCCTCATAATTGCCATTACTACATTTTATATTTTAAAACTTAGGACTTTTTTTATTAAATTAAAGCCTTATTCCTAATACTGCCCACTGAAAGTTGCCAAAGAGTCCTGATATCATCACTCTTTTTGTGTTTAAATTTGGCAAATTTTAAACCCATTCAGTGGGATTTTTGTTTTTTTGTTTTTCCCCCCTGCAGATTTGAAAGTGATAAAGCTGAGACTGTTGGTCTATAATCCCAATGTGAAGGCCTTGTAGATTGCCTATGAGACAGGCTCTATAATGCACTATAGTCATGCTAAGAAGAAGAAAAATATTAGCTTGTTAGAATTACCAGAATGAGAGAACCTTTGCCTGTGAGCTAAGTTACTAATTGTTAATTTTTAGCAGACTTCGTTAGTATGTTTTCATTGACATAAAAGAAGTGAAGTGAATGGTGGCGTTCCACAGGAATGTCATCTGATGGGCTATAGGTATTTGTATGGGTATTTCTGGTTTTGGAGGAATCTATTGCCTTATTGGTTGCATAGGACAGGGAAATTGATTATTTCTTTTAACATGGAGACTGCTATATTTTGTAGCTGCTCTAGAACTTTATTCTAACATACTCATAGAAGAAATGGGTCGTCACTTAGGATCAATTTTTAAAAGCTTTGTTTTCAGAATAAAAGTAAGCATTTTAGAAACTATAAACTATGTAAACATGTTGATTTTAAATCTGGGTTTAACGTGAAACTACCATTATAGGTTGAGTGGCTTATCACAGCAAGGTGTATTTTTTAAATACTTAAATAGCAATCTTTTTCCTTTCCAATCGTAAGAGGAAAGTAGTTGTGTTATAGGTTTTTATGTTTGTGTGCAAAGAAAAAGCAAACTAGTGAAGAAATATAAGAAATTAATTGCTTTGTTCATAACATGAAAATGACTCCTGTGGTTGCTCTAATCTGTGGCATTGAATGCCATCATCTATAGCAGTGGTTCTCAGAGCGGTCTTTGGACCACTACATCTTGCAGGCTCAGTGCTTGTCCTCATTTGTAATGGGCAGCCTGCACTGGTGCTCCAGACCTGTGTCCCCCCCCTTCCT